ATCCCTCTGCCTGCCTCTCTGCCCACCCCTCCCCCCCCCTACCCCCCGCCCCGACATCCACAGGCAGAAACCAGAGCCCTCTGACAAGGAAGCATCTACCTCTCAGAGGCCAAACCTGCCCTGCGTGGATTTAATGCTGCTTAGGCTCTCTCCCCTCTTTCTATGAACATCCATACGTGACGCTGCAGGCATACTGTGTGCTTGCTTGTGGGTGTTGCATATACTACACAATATTTACATATTTATATTTAGATATAAGCATATATGGGTATGTATTTGTGTATCATAAACTCCAAAAAGAATCCTGAATTCTGCAGTGAAGCTGTGCTCCGGGGTTCGGATGAGGGATGGAGCCTGTGTGTGTGTGTTTCGAGCTGTGAGGTGATGTCTCAGGCTCCAGTCACATGAGGACACTGAGGCTGGAACCCCGACTTCTCAGTGTCACCTCCATTCCACCGCGTTCAGCCGCCCGCCACCTTCCTCGTCCCAGGCCGTAAACAGCAACAAACCCCACGTCATCCTTCCCGGCCTGCGGCCTGCAGCATGGCCATCTTGTCCCAGCAAAGGTCTTGAGGCCTGAAGCTAGAGAGTAACTGGGCTCCTGTTCCCCCTACTGACAGGGCTCTCCCTTCCTCTCCAGACGGGGACACCGCCACATCTCATGAACAGAAGCCTTAACTGTCAGACCCCCAAGACGAGGCCGCGCTGCCGCCGTTCCCTCCTGCACAGCGGTCACCTGCCTGCGCCCCGCCTTCCGGTCAGAGCAGATGCTGTCCGGGCTCCACCCTCCGCAGGCTCTCAGGATGGACCAGGTCGGACCGGATCAGGCCGAAAGGCTCCCTCTTCACGCACCTGCACGCCTACCAGACAGCACTTCAGGCTGGGAAAGAAGCCAGGCTGCCCAGAAGTGTCCATGTGGGCAGTTTTGTTGCGGTTTTTAATGTAACAGTGCATTTCCGCCCACGTCAGCAGCCGCTCTGGGAGCACGGGTCGGTTCTGGAAAGCACCCGAACTGTGAAGCGCCTTCTCCCCTCCCAGGGCAGGGCTTCCCAAGAGGACTTTCCAGGGAAGGAGAAGCTCACTCGTTTCCTGCTGGTGTGTCCGGGCAGCGCCGCGGGGCGGGCGTCCTGATTGCTTTTCGGCCGTTCCCCTCCCTCTCGGAAGCTCAGGGGTTCCGATGTTAAGCGTCCCCTTCCTGTATTTATCCTTCCCAGGGGCCGTGCGCACAGCTCGCCTCTTTTCTCGCGTGTCGCGTTTGTTTGCTTTCGGAGGCGATGAAGCAATAATGCAGCCAGTTCCCCTTGACCATGGACGTGTATATAAGCCTTCACATTGAGGAACGGGAGGAGAGAGGCGTGGCTGCTTTGCCGGGAGCATCTGGTCATCTCAGGTTACCTTGTCCCTATCCGAGCTTTTTGTAGACATTCTGATTGTCACCTGTGTGTCTCCCTGGTTCCTTGCCCTTGTGAGCTCTGGTTTCTGTGGAGGGACCTGTCCCTTGGCCTCCAGGGTCATAAGCTGCAGCCCCTGGCAGTGCCTTTCCCACCCTTCAGACCCGCCTGAGGATTTTCCCAGCGTTGATCTCCATCACTGCCTGCGCTACGGGAAGAGCCGGTCCGCAGTGGCCTCGCTGAGCAGATGCAGGGATGAGAGGCTCTTGTGTTTCTACTCACCTCTTCCTTCTACCAACCCTCCCCCTGCATCCACCATCTTTTTAGGTCCAGATGAAGGGCGGGGTCTTGCGGAAAGCCCTTCCCAGCAGGGGAACTCCCCAGGCCAGGGACGCGGACAGAGCTGGGTGCTGGGTGGCGGAGCGGAGGTCTACCTGCCTCTTTTTCTTGCTGTCTCTCCTCTGTCATTCTCTTTGGAAATCCTCCACACCAGCCTCCTCCACCTGCGAAGCCCAAGGCCCCAGCAAACATCCCAGAAATGCCTGCTGGCCATCTGCCATACCTGCAGTCGCCATAAACTTTGTGCCAACCTTCCCTGGGAGACGCCCTTTGGAGAGAGAGATGCTTGGGCAGTTCACAGGGTGGCTGGTAGTGGCCGAAGGGTCCTGGGGCTTAGTTTCCACATAGACACATACACAGCATTGGCTAGATATAGACACACACACCCCTCCCAAAGCGGTGAAAATCTTCATAAATCCCAATATTTGCAAATGGTGTCAAAGCATCCCTCCCTTCCCAGCCACCTCTCAGGACTCTGTGTGTCTGCCCATCGCTCTGTTCGCATCATCTCCCTTTACCTCCGCTCTCCTCTTGGGGGTGGGGAGCGGGGGACAGCAGTCGTGTTTCTCTGGGGTAAGACAGCCTGTGCCCTGGGGAGCGGCTAGCTTCAGCACCGCAGACAGTGACCAGAGCGCCCTCCCTGAGTCCTGTGGGCTGAGCTTTGCTGCTTACCAATGGGCGCTGGTTGGATCCCGTCGCCCACCCTGTGGGTCTGGAAGCCTCGTGCATCTGCATGTGGAGGTCTGGCCTTGCTTGATCGTAGCTGTGTCCCCTTCGTTCCCTGAGTAAATCGTTGATCCGTTCTCTCTGGCAGTTTGGGGATGGAATTCCTCCAGGAGCTGCTGGTGGACGTTTGTTGCTCGTGCTCTGTAACAGCGTTGATGTGGTGGCCTCCTGACCAGGCTGCTAGTGCCCCTGGGCACTGCTAGTTCCTTCCTTGGCTGCTGCTTGCTTTGTCCTTCTGAAGGTGGGAAGGGCCGCTTGGTACCACCTCAGGCAGTAGGAAGTGGCCTGTTCTGTCCAGTGAGTGTAGCGCACTCACCATGCACAACTCTCAATTCTGTTTTAGCCCAGGTTTACCCGACAGGAAAGAAAAACACATGAAGAGGAGATCTTTTGCCTACCCTATCCCCCCCGCCCATGACTGGAACTAAAAGTTCAGTTGATTCCATGGTGATTAAGACACACAAAGTCCACCCCTTTCAACTGACTAGGGCAGACTCTGAACATTCTCCCAACTTCTATTTCCTGCTGCCTCCTCTCTCCATGCAGAGCAGACAATCACAGAGGGTCAGGAGGGACCCTCCCAATGCAACCCCCCGCCCCAGGAACCCCCCTTGGGGTCAGAGCGATTGACGTCCGCGCCTGTGCAGTCAGCTGGGCCACTGGGGGTGTGCTTCTCCTCTTTCTAAACGGGGTGAGCTCTTTGGGGCAAAGCAAGGGTTTGTGCTCCAGTTTCCCGAGTGAGCCTGGGGTCACCCTTGGAAATCTGTCTCCTTTACACTGAATATGCCTTAATCATCTGTATGCAGTCAAGCCCTGCCCGCCTCTCCTTCCTCCCTGAGCCCGTGGCTCTCCTTGGTGAGTCTTGCACAAAAGGCCGATTGCTAGGGATGCACCATCTCAGCCACCTCCCTCCCCTCCCTCTCCACACACACCCTCTGACCCTTTGCACATCAGCATCTTGACAGATGACCTCTTGACAAGTCTGTATGTTCCCCCCAGTGGAGCCCCTTCCTCATGGTCTCTTGTCTGAGGAGGCAGAGGCCTCTGGCCTGTGAACCTCCCGGCACGGCCTCCGGCGTCAGTGCTGCGGAGGATGACTTGGTGCCACAGAGAAACGCCGGGGAGACCCCGCGGGGTTGGGGATGCTGGGATGATGGCCTCAGGGTGCCGAGGGTTGGGGCCAGGACAGTCAGGTGGGGATGTTTTCCAGGGGACCAGCCACGCCCTGTGCTCTCGGAGAAAGGTGTTTTCTTCTGTGCGTCCCGGGTAGTGAGGCCAGTTCCAGGTGTTGCGAAGGAGCGAGACTGGACGGGGCCCAGGCCTGAGATCCGAAACCTCAGAGGCTGCGCAAGGGGTTTAGGAAAGCCCGTGGCGTGATTTCTCAAGGGAGCTGCCCACCTGGTGCCAAGAGCTGCCTTGTCCTTCCCCGCTTTTCCATTTCCCACCCGGGCACCCGGGTTGCCCCGGGCTCCGGGCACAACTGCAAAACTAAGTGACCACAGGTGTGCGGGCGGGCCACCTGCAGAACGAAATGCTTTCTTAAAGGTGACTCGGGCCCGCGTGGAAGACGGCGTCCACCCACAGAGAGGGCTGACCCCCCCCCCCCCACCTCCCCCGGCCCCTGCGGCCCCTCCCACGAATCCCTGTCCCTTAACAGGAAGCTGGCCCCAGCCGCCTTTTATGAACTAGCATTGGGGGTGGGCCTGTCGGAGGGGGAGGCAGGAGGAAAGCGCTCTGGGTGGGACCTCCCAGCCCGTCCCTGGAGCCGTGGCAGGTCACTTCCCTGATGGGCAGACGGCCTGTGCCGTTCCCCCGGGAGCACCGTCCGCGAGTCGGACAGGCACTTGTGACCATCTCTGGTGGCGGCACGCCCGCGCAGAAATACGACGCCGTTGTCTACAGAAGAACTTGAGCCTTTTTCACGATCTCACTCCACATGGCCTTATGGCTCCTGTAAATAGGGGGCTGACAAAAGTCATTGTGTTACGGGCGACATTTTGTACGGGGCTGTTTCCTAAATCAAACCCATATTCCGGAAGTCCAGCACCTCCCCCCTGATTTTGATTCTTAGATGCTTTGTAAGACGGGGAGTGGAAATACATGGACATAGACTGTATATTTTCCTAGCCTTTCTTCCGGGTCCCTGCGTCAGAGCGTTGAGTCCCGACAGAGACGGAACCCAGTCGGGGGTGTGGGAAAGCTAAGCTCCCCGCTGGCATCCTCGCAGTTGCCTTAGAATTCGCCAGCCCTGGAGTTCTGCACGGAGGAGGCGAGAGGCACTTTATCCAACCCCAGAGGGAGCCTCGAATTGTGTGACTGACAGTTCACCTAGAAAAAAGCCTATATTTTTAACGTCGAAACCACGGGGCTCCCTGGACTCACTGCGTATTGGACATCGACAAGTGCTTTTATATTTTGTAACTGTAAAGAGTTTCCTACGCACATCGAGAGCAGTTGGGAAGCCGGCCAACTGCCCCCAAACGAGATGACCTTTGCATGTACAAAGATGTCGCATTCAGACCCTGAAAACAGAAATAAAGTTTTGGTGCAAGTTGCACTGGAGAAGTCGGTGTGTCCCTGTGCGAATGAATGGGCGCCCAGGCGTGCACGCCCGCCACCCGCTGCATCAGGCTCCTGTCCGTGCTGAGCTGGGGCCAGGCAGCGGGACGGGCTGGGGTCCTGGACACACAGCTGGTTTTCCATTCAGCGTGGGGCCGACTCCTCATTCTGCCACCTCCTGGCCGTGGGACATCCCTGAGCCTCGGTTCTCTGCGATGGGGTGGTGATAGCGACACCAGGGCAAGAGTTTGAGGCAGTGGTTCTCCTGGGTGCATGGAGCTCCCGAGGTGACATCTGGCAGCGACAGGACACATGCTGGGTTGTCACACGGAGGGGCGGGTGCTGCCCTGGGCAGCCAGTGGGTGGAGGCTGGGACGCTGCTCAGCACCCTACGTGCGCAGGACGGTCCCATCACAAAGAATGGCCCATCCCAATGGCAGCAGTGCCGAGGTCAGAACTCGGTGACAGTGCCGGTGCACAGTAGGTCCCCGGGTCCTAAGGGTCTGATGGGAGGGAGTCGTGCCCCCATGGAGGCTGCCCATCTCTGTCTTCCCCTTACATCCCTAGCAGGTGGTGACTGCACCCCAAGCTAAGGGGCCGGAACCAGCTGCACTGTCCATGATCACCCCAGGAAGGGCCTCTCGGTGTGAACTGTCCGCAGGAGGCAGGGTCCTCAGGGAACAGAGTGAGGCAGTGCCAGACGGTGCCGAGTGCTTTGCCGTCACAGTTGGTGAGTCGGGTGGAGAGAAGGTTCTCTGTGTCCAGACGAGGAGACTGTGGCTCCGAGGCCTTCAGGAACTCACCCAAGGCCACACAGGGTCCCTCCGTCATCCCGGCTCCTACCAACCTATCAGGGTTGGGGGTACATGGGTTCTATGCTGACGTGAGGATTTTTACCAAAAGTAACAGCGAAAGAAAACCCTGTTTAGCAGTTTGTCCCTTGTTCTATTTATTCCATGATCACTATTCAGTACCCAGCATAGGCAGACGGACGCTGTGAAGCATTTAAAAATGCATGGATCTGTTTCTTTGGTCATAAAGAAGGTGACTGTCCTTGTCACCTGTGTTTCTGTCAAGGCTAAAAGCCGGGCCCTGGAGCAGGCCAGCCCTCCTCCTCTGCTGTGTGACCTGGGGAAGTGACTTCACCTCTCTGAGCTCAGATTCTGAACCATCTCTGAAATAGGGGTCAGAGTTCCTCCCCTCAAGGGGGCTGGGTGAGGAGTAAACAATGCTCACGGAGCTAGCACAGTGACTTGCGCATAGTAGGCCTTCAATAAACGGTAGCTGTTATATATCCATGCTTTTTATATGGAGAAAATTAGCCTTTGGTGGGCCTGCTACAGCATGCCACAGAAATGGGTGGATGGATCGCACCCAATTTGGAAGTTAGGTTTAAGGAGATACGGCTTAAACTTTAGGCCACGTGGCGTAGGGAAAAACTGAGGAGTTCGGGGGTCCCTCACGTCAAGAACTGGAGCCTTTCCAGGGTGTCATGTGTTGCTACAGGAAGATGATGGCACTGAGGAGTCAAAGAAGGGGTGGGGGAGGTCCCGGGGAAATTTAGGCCCCCTCCCCCCCCTCCTGGCGCTGTAGGGCTCCCCACAAAGCTGACCGGTCTGTCTGCCCCGGAAGTCATTGAGGACACACGGGCACTGGGCCTCCCGAGGCTGTTACTGGAGTGAAACAGCCTGAATGGAATCGGGCGGACAGCGCTGCCCCAGCAGCCGGTGTGCTGGGCTGTCAGACGCGCCCCTAAGTAGGACCAGGCCGTCACGCCTCTGACTGCAGACAGGGCTCTGTTCACTGTCTCCCAGATGTTCCCTCATTCGAGCCACTGCTCCTCCATCTTTGCTCAGAGCCCGGGAGAGCGCCCTGATGCGGGCCAGTGTCCGCTCGCTTGTGCTCTTGGGCCCCCCCGGGTTTCCAGGAGGCCTTGCCGTATAGAAAGTCTTTTTAAAAAGTCAGGTGAAGTCTTTTCCCCTGCCTGTCCCCACGAAAGCCTTCACTCCTTTTCCGAACATCTCTCAGCCCTTGGACCGATGCTCTGCACAATCTTTGTCCTACTTCCAAGGGGGAAGAGGTGACATAGCGGCTCTCTGGGTGTGGCCTGAGTAGTGCCTGGGGAGCATTCGCATCACCTCCCTCCTTCTGGGCTCCAGAGCTGTTAATGCCATCTTAGGGTCACCTTCCCTTTGTCGGTGACCACAGCTCCCTGGTGGGTATGTGATCTGGGGGATGCGCCTTGAAAAGTGCCACCTCTCCCTGGTAATAATTTACCCAACACTGTTCACTGAGTACCTACTGTGTGCTGAGTGTGAGAGCAGTAAGAGTGACAGCTGGTGCGTGGGGGCCGGGGGGGCTCAGGAGGGGGTTGAAAAGAATACAGTGGCCTTCAGTGACCTCAGCCTGCATATATATATATATATATATTTAATATGCATAGTCAATATGTTCCTATATGCATAACCCAGGGACAGCGACAATAGGGTGATGGAGACCTGGGCAGAGGGTGGGGGCAGGCTAGAAGGGGTCAATGGGAGAAAAAGGGGGACATTCGTAACACTTTCAACAATAAAGATTTTTTAAAAATACAGTCA